GCTAGCCCGTCTATCGAGGAGGGTGCTGGGTTGGGGCGCGTGTCGACTTGGAAGCCGAAAGAGACCAGGACCGCCCCACGACGCACTCGGCGAGTCTACTCGGCCTGAGGCTCGGAAGCTATTGCTCGGTGGTTGTGGTTGGTCTGTCCTTGTCGAAGGATGATGCCCTCAGCGACTCATCTTACAAACTTTGCACAGCGGACCTATTTAATTACACACCCTTTAATTTGCGAATCCCAGTCTTTAGCAGAGGTACCAGTAGTCGTACGAAAACACAGAAGCTATGGGAAATACAAAAAGCTCGCGGCAACATTCCCTGTGCGATTCAGCGCGGTATAGCTTATTAAGCAGTAGGCGGCCCGCCTCTAAAATTACAAAATTATCAAACATCTCATCTGGATAATTTATAATCGAATAAATAAGTACCCTAAAAATATAGACAAAATTTGTCATAGTTATCAACTAAACCATTTTTGAACCGACAAAAAATATGTTGACATCTAACGCAGTATAGATGTGAAATAATGTATAGTTATAAAGTAACTTTGATTGGGTTGTATTTAGATGTTAATTAATAACTATTAAATAATCCATGGATATTTTTAAAACAATTTTATTTCTGTGAATGTACACACTTACATCTTTTGGCCTTCGAATGGTTGAAATTTGGGTACGAAGAGCTGAGGCACTTTATCAACTGACTTAACGTTAAGTAGAAGACTCCAAAACCTATTTAGCGACTTAAAGATACAACTCTCATTTTTAAACAACAAGTTTAATGTTAAGGCTCACAACTTCTTAAAAATTAAATGCAAATAAGTATCTAATCTAATAGCTCTTCTATAGTTATTCAACCAGAATGTTACTAGGGCAGTAAATAATTATTAACAGCTGTCAACAAATTCAAAGATAACTCACAAATAAAACATGAGATATTTGTTCATAGGCTCTAAAAAAGTGGCTTTTTGGATCAATAACCAAAGTTATTTACCCAGGCTGCTTTCAGGCATATCAAGGTCTTTTTGCTTGCATTACTTGTCAAAATTATTAGGTTGTATTTTAGAGATTGAATTTGAATATGTTTATGGTGTTATTGTGAACTTTACTTTATACTTATCGAGTGCAAACAAAGCGCTGGTTTACGCGCTAATTGCACGGGAGATCAAGTGCCTCCCGATTAGGACTTCCAAAGTGTGTCTAGCACAACCAAATTAGCCAGCAAATACCTACACACCCTAGAGGAACCACTGAGCAAAGTATAATTTGAAAATATGAGTCATCGGGCAGCTCTCCTTGCAAGGTCAAGGTAACGGACACAAATCTCAGTCACGCGACAATCAGAGGTCAGTGGCCGTAGGCATCGGACCCACGGCGCCGATGACGGGCCCCCCACCCGCACGGCGGCAGGTCGTCTCCTGACAGTCAAGTGGACTCACCAAGCAAGAGTCTATCCTGCCGCGCTACGTCGGCGGGTGGTGGCTGGAGGTGGAGCTGGGGTGGCAAAAGTGAGCTGGGCAGCCGGGAACGGAATCGCAGTGTGGCAAGAAAAGCTACAAGTTATTGTCACAGCTTGCAACAACTAAAACTACACCCGAAAGAACTGGGTTCTCGGACCAAGTACATTGTAGTTGATCCTTGATTTTTCAAGTACATATCACTTGAATCGAGACACCGACGGCCCGCGCCCGGCGCAATCTTTTTGGTGTGTGGCCTGCCAGCGGTTCGCACGGCGGCGGGCGGGCAGGGCCAGCCTGGAGCACCGCGGCAAAGCGCACCCCCAGGTGAGCTGAGCGCGCTCGGGGGTGAGCACCGAGCCGAAGCACCGAGCACCGAGATGGAGAGCACCACCAAGCATTGCAGGGGCGAAGTGCGCATGACGTGTCACGGGTCGTGAAAGTGCTGGCAAAAGAGTATCGAAAACGAGTTATGATTGGAAGGGGGGGGGGGCTGTGTTTCTATCACTCACCTCTTCGGCGTTTCTGCGGACTGGTCGCAACAGCGGCAGGTTACTTGAACATTCGCTGGCTGTCAGTTCGAGAGGGGTGGTTTGCAGCCCTTCAACTAATGTGCCGCTCAGCCCATGGTACTTCTGAGTCCGTGACTTCTTGAGGGGGGTTCACCTGTGAAAAACATCAAAAAATGAATTATTTTTAATTCTCTTATTTTTTTAAAAAAATCTTCCTTCTGTGAAACACCGACAAGATGATTCGAAAGTTGGAAAAGTTGCGGCCTGTGCCAGGCAGTGTAAACGGTGCTAAGTAAGGGGTAGGAGTCGGGAAAAGGGGGGGGGGGGGGGGTAACCGAGCCACTACGCCGTAGGAACTCCACGAGGAAGGCCTGGTGAAATGAAGGATTTAAAGTCCACTCCAGAGAAAAATTTCGCTTTGACAGAGATTCGAACTGCCGACCTTTGAGTCCAAATCCCTAGAGTCATACTGAACGAGCGGCCTTGACGCCACAATACAAGTCGCCTGCCGTACCGTGTAAGAGTCATGCTGCACGAGTCTGGTCTGGCCGTGTCGGTTGTAGCTACAACTGTGGAGCTACAGACAGGGTCGTCCCTCCGCCCGGGCCAAGACAGTGAGTGAGGGGCAGCCTGACGAGCCTGACGGCAGACCCATCGCGCAGAGGGGGCGACGCCCGGCCCGCCTTCCTCAGCTGCCCGCGTTGTTGCTTTTCGAAATAAAGGGATGGGCGAAATGGGTGCCTGTTGCAGGAGGAGGGGATGTTTTTCCTTCTTCCCGCCAGCCTCCCCACCGGAGAGGGAAGGGAGTGGCGGCGAGAGGTAAATGAAGAAAGGGTTGTCGGCGAGCGAGTGGGACGTGCGGTCTCATCCCTGCAGCAACATTTATTTTGCACGCGAGTAATGTCTGAGAGGGTGCCGTTTCCGAGTCAGCCAAAGAGACCGGCGGCGTCTACATAGCTACTCCGGCCTGGATATTGGTCTGGTTTTACTTGTTTTACTGGTGGTTTCAAGTTAGGTCTGATTATAATTTGCTTGAATTAATTTAAAATATTTTTGAGATGGTACTGAGCAGTAATTGAATTTGGTAACAGCAACAAGAAATAGAAAGCATTTTTAAAATGAGAATTCAATTCACTATTCCGATCAAAATCGATGTTCAAATGTGTGTAGCAAACTACAGCCTGAAGTCCTAAACTCAACCTTGCTTAATACGTTTAAAAGTAGGCTCAACAAAATTCCTGTTGGAAAGGAGTTTCATCATGTTGATGAATTCACAGGGTTAAAGAGGTTGATATCCAATGTTTTTGAAACACGCATTTAATAGTTTCTGACAATGATTTTTGTATCTTATGTACAAAGAATCAAATAAGCATAAACTAAACTTAACCACGACTTAACTAAAAGAATTATAGAATTAGAAAATGTTATTAAATGCTTAAGTTGCCATGACATATTACGAGTAAATTCAACCTTGCGTGAGGGCCAAACCAATGGAAAAGTCAGGGATAATTAAAAATTTCAATGTGAGACAGAAACGCTGACTATTATGCATAATGACAAATTTAATTTGATACTAGTTGAAACTGTTTAAATACCTGTAATTTTATGTTAATGTCTATGAATAAATTTAAAAATTCAAGTTGATTGGATTTTAACCAATATATAAAATCAATGACTTACAAGCCTTTACCGTTCATCCCAAAAGTCGAAACTCAAATAGAAAGCAGCAAGACAATCTCAGTGCGACGCAGAGCATTGCAGATGAATATCGAACAGTATGGGAAGTTATTGCGAGAAAAAATTAATAATTTCTGGATCAAATCAACACTATAGAGCCAAACACCATGTAGGCTTATTTTAGGCATGGCAGAAACAGGTACAACCAAACATACACAGTACACATTTTAGACTGAGACTCACCAAAATTTCAATGATGGCTGACGTCACCATTCAAACTTTCCATTCACATTTTCACTTGAAGTAGAACACAAAACAGCACTCCAACCATACTGAACATTTAACTCACAGAATGCCCTTCAATATAGTACACAAAGCACAAGAGGCGTTTCAGTGTCATTTTCACTTTCACATCACATATCTATAGAAGTCAGCCACATGGTAGAGCTGGAGGTTACGGCCGAAAGGCCTCTTGGCCTAGGTCAAGGTCACATTGTGATAGTGGAAAGAACGGCCCGCGGCAAGTGAGGGAAAATTCTTATGGTAGCCACTCATAAAGTTATGGTCGAAATCCTCACACACAACAAAATTGGCATAAACTCAAGTCCGGGAAAAAAATTGCAGCGGTAAACAATTATCCTATCCGGACCGGTAATCGTGGGAGGACTGATCAGCTGATGTTGATCTTCGGTGCCGAGCTGTTGTGAGCGACTGGACCGGGTGCTGCGCCGGTGTGAGAGCAGCAGGTGTGTGAGTGGTGGCCTTCCCGCAGGGCGCCAGGCACGGCTGTCTGAGGAGAGCGTGTCAGTCACTACGCTTTTGGAGGGTTTGATGACATGCATGACAAAAGAACGTGATGATTGCACGGTGGGTAAGAAGTACAACTCACGTTCAAAGGTCAAAAGAGATCGGTACGATCCACACGAGAGAAGGAGAGAGGGAGACGGAGGGAGACAGAGAGAGAGGGGGGGGGGTAAGGGGTGAAGTCGACGGGGATGGATGCCCTGGCCGTCACGGCGGAGACGTGGGCACGATAAATGGAGAGTGGAAATGAACAAACATTGGCATGGAGAGCGCGGGGGAGGTTCGGGAGGAGAGGGTTGGGGGCAGCGGAGGGGAAGGGAGGGGGAGGACGGCGATCGGCACTAAGGATAGCGGGCGTCCAGGACGTGCGGCGCCTGGACAAGGAGAGCAGGTACAAGGTGACGGAGGGTCCTTCAGGACACATTATCGGCCTGGCTCCCGGTCACGCCCAGCGACGGCACTATTTCCACCGCGTGACACTCTTCTTCATGCAGTAGTAGTAGTTGCTCCCCGCCCCGCCTCTCCTTCCACCGCTCTGCGGGGGACGGACGGACGCTGCTCAGCGAAAGTGGACTGCTCCGGCGGCGGGGTCCCTGCGAGCAAAGAGCGTTTATCAATCAAGTTGACCCACATCCCGACTGGCGGCGGCGGGAGGAGTTTGAAAAGGGATGGCGCGGAAGAGGCGTGGCGGCGAGCAGTGTGCTGCCGCTGGTGTTAGTGCTGCGCTGCTGCCACTGCCACTGCTGCTGCTGCTGCTGCTGCTGCTGCTGCTGCTGCTGCTGCTGCTGCTGCTTTGGTTTGGCCCACTTTTCGTGAAAACACACCGAGAAGTAAATCAAACTACAGAGCCGCGCGCCGCGCGGACGCCGCCGGCTCCAACTTTATTTTTCGCGATTTACTGCAGAAAGGGGGTTGCGAATGTCCGTGTGATAGCGATGAAGCAGCGGCAGATCAGCAGGCGTCGTCGTGGCCGCTGCTCACGAGGGCGGTGCGGCGAGATTGTCCAACCTACCTTTCTCCGACCTGATGATTTTTCTAAAATCACCAAAAGTGCTTTCCAACCTAGGTTTTGTCCGACCTAATTTCCTCCGATCTATTCCTCTACGACCTCCCCGCCGACCGTCCGGTAGAAAAATCAGCAGGTCGGAGAAAAATAGGTCGGACGATCTAAAAACACCGCTGACGAGGGCGCGGGCCGCCCGCTCCCACTCGCGCCCGACCACCCTCCTGGTCGCGGACGTGCGTGTTACGTGCCTCGGTAAAATTCATCACGCGTGCTACACTAAACAGCTTCCCGGGACTCCTTGACATGGCTGGCGGCGCTTTGAAGGGCAAAAGCCAATGTCTGTGTGCCCCGCCCCGCCCCGCCCCGCCCGGGGGCTGCTCGAGCAAGTTGTTGGAATGTGCACGGCGCCTCCCCCACAGAGGTCCCCATATGCCCCGGGCGTCTCACCGGGGCTCCCCGCCGCCCGCCCGCCCGTAGGTGGCGAGAGGAGAGGAAAGGGGAGGCCTCCTCCAACTCATCAACAAGCACCCTGACGAGCGGCAGGAGTTGGCCGGAGGTCCGCTGCTGTGGGCTTGGCGCTCCGCGCAAGTCACGGTTCGGTCACGCCGGGGCGGAGCTCCGCGCCGCGGTATATTGGCTTGGGCGCCTGGAGGGTAGGCAACGGCTCGGCACCCGTGCACAAGATGGCCTACCCACCAGGCGCCTGGAGGGTAGGCTACAGAGGCACCCGTGCACATGATGGCCTACCCACCAGGCGCCTGGAGGGTTGGCAACGGCTAGGCTGTATCTTATGTACAAAGAATCAAATAAGCATAA